GCACTGAGGTCCAGTCTTCTCCTATTCATATCCCATTTTCCCAAGCATCTACCCCCAATTCTGAATCATCCTCCTACAGAAGGACACAGGAAGTACTACAGAGAACAGAAATAGTCCACCACTCCTCCAACCTGGCACCCATTTAGCATGCTGTATTGAAAGCACTACTTTCCCTCTAGCCAGCCTTCTCTCTAGACCCTCTTATATCTCTGTTGTAAAGGTTGAGGTACAATGGGGGACTCCCTTACCCCCTAGGACCAAAGGCTCCGGCTACACACTGTCTACCCAGAAGAAGTATTACACATCTTGACTGTATGTGACCTCCAGGAAGAGAATTTGGGAAGATATCTGGGTCAAACTGAGTAGGGAGGCTCTTAGATACAGGCTTCCTGGAAAGCCATAACTAGGTCTGGATGACTGAGGTTTTGTCTGGGGATGGGAGGAGTGGCCAAAAAATAGAGCACTGACAACAGTTTGTAACATAGAAACAACTGAGCTTAGCAGCTAACTAACCAGAATTAAAACAGGAAAATACAAGCTGGAATCTTCCTCCACCAGGCAGCCACACCTCAAGTGATCTTTTCATTAGCCTAGCCCTGCCATCATCCATGACAATCTCTTCCTCAGCAGCAGCCTTGTGATATCCTGGTATTTTTGCTACAATCCCCTCAACTGGATTAAGGGAAAGTGTAGTGCTACTTGCCCAGGACACAAAAACAGCTAAGTGAGTCTCAGCTTCCTGCCAAAATTCAAAGTGCCTTGCCTTGTCACAGTCACTGTCCTATTCTGAAAAAAAAAAAATGCTCAGAGTGTTATTAGTTGTGAATTTACATGCTTTGTATACCTTCATGGAATGTCCCCCATTGGGCTCAAGCCAAGTCCTTGCCCCTCACTCCCCTGGGGCTCAGTCCAGCCCAGGTCTATGACCTGAGCAGATTAGGGATGAGGGTGGGGGTGGTCCCAAGGTCTACTCGGGGTCCTCATTGTTTCCTTGCTCTTTAAGGGAAGGAGCCTCTGCCAGGAGAGGGAGACAATCCAAGATGTGAATGAGACTGTGAAGTATGAGATTGATCTGACTTCCTGGCATTAATTACTTTTTCAATCCCTTATAGTTCTATGCCCAACAGATTGTAATTAAGCAACAACAAGCATTTGGTGAGCAGAGCACCCTGCCCAGATGTAGGGGGCACAGGAGATAGGAAGTTCAGATGGAGTTTATAGTCTACTCCAGGCCATGGGGTGCCAATTACAGTTCACTCCAAAATACCTGAGATCTAGTCAAGGATTTTATAAATAAGTGCCAGGGATGTTGCTGACATCCCTGTCTGTAGCTTCATTTCCTGTTCCCACTACTCAACCCTAGACCCCATAAAATGATCCCCTGAAGTGATGCAGGGGTCTTCCCTCAGCTGCAGCTGCAGTGATGCCCAGGCTGAAGGATAGATGCTCATTTACTGTCCTTTGCCCTGTGAACAAATGAGTAAAAGAATAAATTATTAAAACAGTATTTTCAAAGTCCCATGCTATGTACCAGGCATACAAAGGCAAAGGTAGTTCCTGCCCTCAGATTATATTCTAAGATGAGAAGTGACAAGAGAGGGGCATTTTGGCTTAGTAAGTTACTGGAATAGGAAGCAGATGGAGAAGATGAACACAATCATTCTAGGAGCAATGATAGAATTGTTATGATTATGGTTCAAGTGCTGGATGGCAGATATGATTGTCATTTTTTGGTAAGAAGATGGCCTGGGAAGTGAAATGAAGCATGGCTGGAGGTAGGCCTAAATATGGGCAACTTAAGCACCCATGAATGAAGACAGTGGGGCCCAGTGCAGGAGTTCTGGGGAGTATTCCTCCAGACAGTGTCTGTCCTAGGCAGCCAGCAGTTGGTAAGATGATAGTCAAGGAGTGAAATGGACCTATGGACCTTCACCTTTCATTGCCCACATCCTACACGGCCTGGGCACTCTGGGAATTCATCATTTCTCTGTCTTCAAGACCCAGTCAATGACTCAATCAGGTTTCTAAGACTTTCCCAGTGGGCTCGGTGGTGCTTTAAGGGTAAAAGTCTTAATATTTGATTCTGACCCTTTTCATGATCTAGATAAATTTTGCAATAAAAATATTTAAAACTCCCAAGCCAACGCTTCGTTTTCTCCTAGCTCAGGGCCACCCAGATAAGAACTGCCCAACAAGTTTTCTGGAATCCAGAGCTCTAGGCCACCTCCTTGCTCCATTTCACATTTCTGGTCCAGTGAACTCGGCTGGGTTACAGCTGCTGCATCTGCTACAGCATTTCCACCCACCTCCAGGTCATGAGCCCCAGTACCTCCCACTGTTTTTCAGGCTCTACAACCCACATGTGCATAACTGACACTGACAAAAAACTCAGGTATGCTGTTGACTCAATTGATTTTTTTTCTATAAAAATAAAACTGAGTTAGTGTTCATACACTTAGATCTTGCCATCACTCCTAAATAGAACCCTTCCATGTTCATATGGAAACTCCCTTACCTGTTTGCAATCTGTTGTCATTCCATCTTGCCCTGTGCCTTGCAACCCCAAACCTTATTCTTCATCATCACCATGACCTCCAATCCCTTGACTGCTTAGTTCTTTCCCAGGCCATTACCCTTGCACTCTCCCCTTTTTCCCATCTCGATAACTTGGTGAACCAGTTCAACTCTACACTATCCTCTCAATCTCTTATCCTCTTCTTGTTCAATCATTTCAGCAGGGTCCAACTCTTCGTGACCCTATTTGGGGTTTTATTGGCAAAGATACTGGAGTGGTTTGCCATTTCCTTCTCCAGCTCACTTTACAGATTTTTTTTTTCTTATTTTTTTTTAAGGCAATTGGGGTTAAGTGACTTGCCCAGGGTCACACAGCTAGTAAGTGTCAAGTGTTTGGTCTGAGGCCAGATTTGAACTCGGGTACTCCTGACTTCAGGGCTGGTGCTCTATCCACTGCGCCACCTAGCTGCCCCTAGCTCACTTTACAGATGAGAAAACTGAGGCAAACAAGGTTAAGTGACTTGCCCAGGGTCACACAGGTATTGAGTGTCTGAGGCCAGATTTGTACTCAAAGTCTTCCTGACTCCAGGCCCAGAGCTCTATCCACTGCACCACCTAGCTGTACCTAGTTTGTTCCTTTACCCATTGCCAATCTAGCCCTTTCAAGTCTCAACCCTGGATTAACCCTATAATCCACTGCCTTAACTCCTACTTATTCGCAGCTAAATAAAGCTAAACAATCCACTACAAATTTATGTTCCATGATCTTAACTGGGCCCCTACTGCAACAAGGCAATCATTTTACACCTCCATAATTAACTCACTTTCTACTCACCAGAGCAGTTTTTCCAACTTTTCA